ACTCAAAAATAATTTTCCACAGGCCAAACAACATAAAGTGATATTTACCCGTGATTCAGTGACGCCTTTCTCGGTGTTGATGTCATCGAAATCGTGGTATCCCATACCAGATCGCCAGATACTTTGCGAGGATCAACAGATATATCACATGACGATGGATATGATAAAGTTCAAGTGTCCGGTAAAATCTTGTCAAGCAACATGCGACAACGGATGGCCCGAACTCACCAAGCATGTACGAAATGAACACAAATTGACGTTCTGGTGAGTTGCCTCGATCATTTCCTCGATCTCATCACTCCCCCTCTCCACTTTGATGCTCACCTTTCTTTTACATTTGTGCACCGCACCTCTTGCAGCAGTCGATGCATAGCGCATCGTAAAATCTTTACCTGGGAACATATATTATATACCAAGGACGAATTGAAGCGGCATTATCGAAGTGGAGATGCCAAGGATTCCAACTTTCGAGGGCATCCCTCGTGCATAGAATGCGACGTGACATTCTACGATCTAATCGAATTTCGTGAACATTATTTAATGCATCACGCTCTGATCCCGTTGAATGAATCGCCGCGAGCGACGAGGACCACAACTATTCCTCAATCCACCGAACAAACCATTGCATCACCATCATCATCATCATCATCATCATCATCATCACCATCATCACCATCATCATCATCATCATCATCATCATCATCATCATCATCATCAAGATCATTTGTGAACAATAATGCATTAAACAGTAATAATTGGAATGACAGCAATTTTGACATTTCGGTTTTATTCTTTTGCATATTCTCAGTTTTCACCACCCTCTTGAGTGCATTTTCGATACCGGACGACAACAAGTATTTTACATCCATAATACAAACATTAGACGGACTCACTTCAACTGTATTTAACATTAACGTAGATGACACCAATTTCACCGCATTACACACCATCTTCACAACCATCTACTCATTCGGGTTAAGATTAATCTTTGCGGTTTTCTATTTGACGGTGATATTTTGGGTGTTGAAAAGTTGGTTCATACTGGTGAGCTGGGTCCTATATTTTCTTTGCGGGATTGTAATATTCAAGCTGTGTTGGAGACATTGGGTAAATTGTTAAATTTAGGTGGGGTGACATCAGGCATCACATGTAATCATTGGGGCCTGGAGACGAAATAAAAAGTTCACATGTTCATTCAAGATGTATAAATAAATGCCTGTGCGTGGTTGTCGGTTTGCAACGACGGGCTTTGCTGCAATCCGTTTATGTCCATCAAAAGTTTCATATTGACTATGAAATATTTGCGAATAAAAATTCTTTGATTTTTTTGACACCGCAAACACGTGAATTTAATTAAAGGCTCGCGATTGCTAGTTCTTATTACCTGTTATGTGTTAATGAATGAACAATGGATTCTCTCCGAAAAAGGGACCAACAAAAAAAAATATATATATATATATTCAGCATATATATTTTCGGCGTGTGATAAGGTTGATAGGCGTTTACGACAATGCGGATTTTGTGTAAAGAGGATTTTCGCAAAATCTATGCAATGCATGAGCGAATTGAAGATTTTTCAAATGATTTTCGCAAAATTTAGGACGCATTGTAATCATTCGGGGATGCAATGCATACGCGAATTGCAAACGTACGCTTCGGATGCTTGAATTCATGTGTTTCGCGCCTTTTTTTTTTTTTTGTTAGCGTACATGATGCATCACATGGGTCCGTATAAGCCTCGACAGATTAATCTTTGGCATCAAAGTAAACGGGAAAATCTTTTTTTTTTCACAAAGAAACAGCCTCGCGAAAACTTTTCTTTCAAAGATGGATAATAAGGAAGCGTAGCGCGAATATGCCTATTGTTCACATACTGCATGTATATGTACGGTATATGTAATTTGACGGTTGAGTTTTTTCCCTTTCTTCTGTTTCTCTAGATTGATTGAAAGAATCCTCCCCCCCAAAAAATACTCCCCCCCCCAAAAAATACTTTGTCAAAGATAATTAATTAATTTTTTTCTGTGGACAGATAAGCAATACGTGCAATCTATCTCTTTCGTAAAAATAATACACTTAAAAATATTTTGGACGACTGGTAGGAGAAGAATCCCACGTTCTTCTGCCTCCCGCTTCACCTGACATCGACGCACCTGAGACACTGATGGCATTGGCGTTGTTGTTGTTGGTAGTCAACTTCGCCAACTCCATTGATCTTTTCCCTGCCACCAACAACGATATTAAACACAGAAATACATTAAACCAACCAAGCGCCACACTCGACACCTCTAAATTACATTGCATTATTGCGTCATTCGACATTTTGCTCCTCGCCGGATCCTCATAACCGGGAATCTTGTCGCACCGAAGTCCCGGTCCCGAATACCATGGGTCCAAATTCGTGACACCTTGCGTGATTTTCGTAATTAGGATATTGTTAGCCTTTAATGATCCATTCATTCGGTTAATCCATCCGTTCACTTACTTGCTGACACCCAGAGTGCAAAAAAAAAACTGCGCATACCGATATACATATATACATATGCATATTTATATTTAAGCGGCACGACGAATAAAAAGAGTGCGTTAGGGAGATGTCACCACGCCAGCGAAAAAAAAAAAAAAGAAAGAAAGTTTCCCGATGCTCATCATTGCTTACATTTCGATAGTCAAGATCCTTGTCCCGTGATCCCACACCCTTCGGAATTTACTCAAGTAAAAAACTAAGGAACGTTCATCAAAAGATCATACGGTTAGAGTTTTTTCGGGATAGAAAATTAACATGACACGAATCCCTTGGATACTTAACTAATTCCTAAGAATGTAATTATTATTACAATGTAGTACCATATCTTTATTTGCCCGTGGATTTGTCCACCAGTGAATCTTGGTTCCAGAACGACAAGTTAAAAAAAAAAAAGAGGGATAAGAAAAAAAAAAAAAACAATGCTCGTGGGTGCGAAGGAGGTGTTCCCGTAAACTCACTGATTCAAGGTGGCAAAATACTGTGAATTTTCAAGTTTGAAACCCGGGTAATATCCCGATCCATTCATGTCATTAACATAACTCGTCCATACATAATATTCAATCGCTTCTGCGGAACATTTAAGAAAAACCCGATTAGCCAAGATTTTGTTACGACGAAAGGGGATGATGACAGTTTACCTAAAATTCCAATAACGATGGTAACTGTCACTATGAAAATTTTTAGAAACCGAAAAGACACTGGATGTTCGCTGGCTCCCATACTTCTCGACAATTATTTAGGAATAATGAGAGTGCACACTTTTTTCCCAATTCTCAATTCGTCACATTTGTCACGGGAGTGTCAAAAGTAAATTCCTTGTTCGAGAAACAATAAACATGTATTATCACTGTTTGACTCGCACAGCGAAGACCGGAAATGCAGAGATACAATTTTGGGTAAAATGATGATACTGTGTAATGACCAATTAATTCACTATTTCCTCGTTAAATGCCGGAAAAAAAAATGTAACAAAAAAAAAAAAAAAAAAGATTTTAAAGGGAACAAAGGAACAGCGAGATTTCAATAAAGAGAAAAAAAAGAAAGAAAAAGAAAAACCAAAAAAAGGCCTTCATCGACAAAACATTTCGTGGACCACCTATTTAATGTGACACGGGGATAATATAGATTACCGATTATTTTGCTAAATTTGGTCGAGGACCTTTAGCACGCACGTAGGTGCATACGTTACGCACATAATGTAACGCTCGTTACGTTTGATGCCCATTTTTGGTTAGGGTCACCTCGACTGCAGCACGTAATTTAGCATGGCAATTGTCTTCGCGTGAACATCTCATGACTACTCGGTAGCAAGGGTTTCATATTTATTTTAAATGAATTTGAGGTGTGCGCGTGTGTATTTATTTATTTATTTATTTATTGTTAAATAATAAGTGTGTACTGTACTCGTCTGTAATGGCTAAATGTAGTCGACAAGATCGCGATCGGTGGAGAGTCGGTCGCACGCCAAGATTGGCATGCTTCGCAACTAAATCTCGCCGGACTGGAGTCGTCTCTTTATGAATGTCGATGGGGGAGAAAATCGATGAACCTTGCAAAGGGCCACAAAAGTGAAAGAAGGTGAAAGGGAAAAAAAAAAAAAGAAGAAGAAGATGCTATGTACTGTAATTCTTTTTTTTTTGTGTGTGTGTGTGTGAAGGTTGTAGATGTACAGGCAAATTAAAAGGAAAGGGGAACTTTAAACATATTAGGGTCGAATCACAGTTATAAATACAAATTATCGGTGGATGAGATGTGTATATGTGCTATTTGGTGGTCCTGTTTTGTTTACATATTAAAATAATAAATAAGTACACTCTGTCTCTATTCTTTTTCATTCTAAGAAAGACAGAACCCGACTCAGGCGGGGATCGTAGGAACAAAAATGTAAAAGATCAAATTGACCGGACTAAATTATGAAATGTTTTCTTGACATAAAATTTACTGTACAAATCGGGAAGAAAACTAGCGAGGGGAACCATCTTTAATCGGAGAAAGAACTCCTTTGGGGAATGACCACTTGTAAAGCGGGCAAACCTTTCTTTAATTCTGATTTCGAGTAGGTTTTAAAGGTCATTATTTGTTCGGGTTCATCCAATTGAACCATCAAGTTGGGCTTGGGCACATATTTGTAGTTCACCTCGTCCAACTTCTCAACCCTTCTTTCACCTTCGTACATCTCCTTCCTCTCGATCCAGAGCTTATACGCGATAAAGGTGGTTAAGAAGAAAAGGGATGAAACTATCCAGCCGAATGAGATGCTTATCACTTTGGTGTTACACTCGCGGGAAATGGCTTCGGCGTAGGATGTGTTCTGGCTGATTATGTTGTTGTCGCACGTGTATGTATAACCTTCGAAGGTGGGATACAAGTTTGCAAGACTGGATGACAACCAGAGCCCTGCAAAGAAACTTTTTTTTTTTTTTTTTGACATAAAAATTGGGGTTAACATTTTTTAATCATCTACTTTGGGTACATGCAAGGATGCTTACGCGTTGATGGAGATATCGCGCCGGAATGGTCCATTGTAGAATTGAACGTGGCGGATGACATAGAACCCTATAATATGTAGAAGGACAGATATGAAGAAGTTCAGTGAAGCGCCCGCGTGAAAATTTTTTTTTCGTTTAATCGATTCCACCCCACCCAAGGAAATTAATAAATACCACTGTCAGCAAAAGTGAGCAATATGGGAATGTAGTAAAAGATCTTTACGCCGTTGTAATAGGTCAAGTCTTTGTTGGACAGGAATGGAACCCTGTGAAACCAGAACAATTCGTAAACGTGAATCAATAAACACTGTGGGATAGCCAAACCTTCCGAAAGAAAACGAATCACCTACATCTTGGACGTGAAGTAAGTTGACGCCGGGATACCTTGCTCGTCATAGAACTGGGTGAAGGCAGAGTATTCCAAGGTCTCTAATAATAAGGAAAGGAATAATGATATTAAGATTAATTTCCTTCTGTCAACACCCGAGACATCCACCCTCTATTCACCACCCCTCTTGTCGAAAACCGAAAGTGACGAAAAAATAAATGACGAATACCTAGAATGATGATAATGAACGTGAACAAGAATTGGGAAACCCTCAAGGACTTGTAGAGGGTTGCAGCGGAATGTATATTCATGATTAAATTATTAACGTGAAATAAATAAATATAGGGTTGATTCCTGAATGTAATAATCTATTCTTCTATTAGGTATCTAAGAGAGTAAAGGTGATGGAATGTTTGAGGTTTTATGAGAGTAGGTGTGTGGAGGAACCAAGCCCTAGATTTTTGAACACCAGGAGTGATAAGCAAAGAAAGAGGTTAAAGACGGAAGTGTGTGCAATGAAGGGCGGAGGGGGTAAGAGGAATAGGGAAAAGGTTCAAACGTTCACGCCTGAAGCCCGCGAGGATTGGGAAAAAGCAAAACTAGAATCACAACTTAGTATGCCAATACTTTTATACACCACCATGCTTGACATATGAACACACTCGTTACATGGTCAATATCTCGTACTAAAAATTGCTACCTATAATGATTGTAACCACATGCTAGTCGATTGCTACTTTTTATGGTATTTTGATATATTAATTACATTAATATTTGGAGTAATATTTGGTATACATAATTTACCTCCCGAATATAGCACCTCTGATCCGTCACGTGTCCTAATTACGACCATGCGCATCTGACGTTCTCGCCCGACTAACGTTTTTTTGGTTTTATTTTGCTTTGAACATATTGAACATACATGGTGAAGTGGTATGTGCGACGATCATCTTTGATTCTTCATTTGGACATTTAGAATCGCCGCGCCTGATTTTGATTCGATAAGAAATCGAGGTGAGAACTACGCGTGCCTACACCGGCACCAATTATATTGACCATGATGAATTCCTTCGTCGATGCTGAGATAACCGGCGGTAGATCATTTCTCTCATTAACGTGCAATTAGAGTATTGTACAGTTCACTTATCTTTACATTGCATCATATCGGTGTGACAACCGGAAACTTCAGCTAACATTATCAGCGTTAGAGTTGGAACGGAACGTGGCGACGAATTAAAGTTTATTTACATCCGAATACGAGCGTACGCAGCTACGACGTACAATGGCCAACAATAATCAACCATAACTCATTCATTAACAAACTGTCGGAACACCAGCAAAACATTATTTATTATTATTTATAATTACTCTCATCCAGCCTTACCTTATAAATACCTTATAAATACGCACCCTAAGAGAAATACCAAATCAGCACATCAAGCTGTTATCCTCAACTCCGACGCTAAGGAGAAATCGAAAGTCCGAATCGAACCTTTGAGCAACATTAATGTGAGAAAATCTCGATTAGATTCAAATTGTTTTTCTTAGTTGAACATTCATGGATCACAATGGCGGTGTCATTATAGCGAAGTAATATTTCTTGTGCATCACAAAGGTATCTTTAAGTTTTTGCCAAATTCCATAAATAGCACTTTACTTATGGGACATCATTTAAAATTTTTATTACTTGATTATATAAACTCATTAATTTACGTTCACAGATCAACACCAACCAATTATTGTATTCTCAACGCATTATACTGTAAGTACAGTTACAGTATATACAGTATATACAGTACGTACTGTATATAATTTTTTTTTTTTCCAGTCGTTTGCTATTGAACATCTTGGGAAACAGACCCTCATTGTCGTAAATCAAAAGCAAACGTCGACTTAAACATAAGCTCATTATGGCATACCGATTAAACGTTGTACGCATTCTCTTTATCGTCATAAGCAAGATGAAAGAAATTCCGCTTTACCATCACGGCACGTAATCAATTTCCTGACTTTTACGCACCATTGGGTTGAATACAACTTGAATTTCCAATAATTGGAAAAGTCCAAGATATGAAGTAAAGATTTTCTCATTAGTAAAACCAAAAGTTTTCAATATAAATATTTATCAATGGTTGTGTCACATTATAGTAAAATCCTATTCACTTAAAAATCATTGAATTCAAAATTATTCTAATAAATTCCTATTGTTAATTTAATATTATTGGATTTGAAAAACCATTCTTATATGTGCTGTATTTAAGTTTTATGAAAAATTTATTTTATTTTTATTATTATTATTTTTTTTTTTGAGTACCTATAGCCAGGCTAGATCATCAGTTTATTAATTAATTGAAAACATAAGTACATTTTCATTTGAACAGCATAATACATACTACAGCTAAACTATTATTCTAATCTAACTAACTTGTCATAAGCATAAAAGTCTCTAAATTCAATCTTGGTGACAATATTTCATTTTATAGTGTCTTTGAATGAAAACCCTCCTAGTTCACTACATCATTGCCAGCAGGTTATCATTGTCATATGTCTAATCAAGCCACTGGAATACAGGAAACTATAAAAGGATTGGTTGAAAAAAAGAGTGGATGATATCTAAAAATGTCTAAGCAAATAACAAAAAAATGAAAAAGTAAAAATTGAAAAAAAATTTCCAGCTTTTTTCAAGGATCTACTTCTTAAGATCTCTTCTCAATAAGAAATATTTAATTAGAATATTCTTTCTTTTCTTGGTTATCTGAGAAACTTATCCATTCTTAATTTTAATTTTCTTCTTGTATTCTATCTAAGGAGACTTATCACCTAGTGGGAGCCTTTACTTCTAGATACACTTGGTCTTAACCTTCTTTAGACAGTGATTTTTTATTCACTTGTAATAAAAAGATAACTTGTAATGAACCCTAAATTCTTATGTGACTCAATAAGAACTAGGCCATATTATTTTAGTATAATATCTTTTAGTAATCATGCCTAGTTAAAGGAATTTTATTAACGTGCATCTTCCATTACTTAAAAGATCAAATTTTTTAATAATCTTTTTGTCTTATAATGATAGGAGAGTTTTAAAAAGTGATAGGGATCCTAGTCAATTATGATATCCTTTAACAACTTTTGGAGATATGCATCATTAGGAAAATTTTTTAATAAAGAATTCTGGAGATTTTCACCTGTTAAAAATTTTCCAGAAATTTTGAAAAAAACTCCAAAAAACTTTTAAAATTTTTGAAAATTTGTAAAACAAAAATAATTTCATTAATTTTAATAATAAAAAACTTCAAATATTTTTTATTTC